AAAGTTGCAAATTGATCGTGATCAGTTCATTTGGCCCTTAAAAATTAACCAAAGGATGTATTGACATGAATCAAAAAACAAAATGCTCAGGAGTCGTGGTTCTGACAGTAAAATTTTCGGAAAATTTACACACGAAATGATTACACAGGGTGTTCTAAAGTTAGGGTAGAAAAACAACCCCTCGATTGACCCTGTATAATATGCCAAATACTAAAGTTTATAAAAAACTTTGTTTACGAATTAAAGTTTGGTTTGGTTAGGTACAAAAATTTAAAGTACAAGTCTCAAATAGTTTCTGAAAAAAAAAATATTTTTTTAAAAGGTCCGATTAAATTTTTATCTCCGAAACTAAAGTTTCAAAAAAAGTCATACTATACTAGAAATTCATTTACCCAGTAGTAGTTATAAAAAGCATTTTTGGTAAACTCTGTCTCAAATAGTTTCCGAAAAAAAATTATTTTTTTTTAAAAGGTCCGATTAAATTTATATCTCCGAAACTAAAGTTTCAAAAGAAGTCATACTATACTAGAAATTCATTTACCCAGTAGTAGTTATAAAAAGCATTTCTGGTAAACTCTGTCTCAAATAGTTTCTGAAAAAAAATTATTTTTTTTAAAAGGTCCGATTAAATTTATATCTCCGAAACTAAAGTTTCAAAAAAAGTCATACTATACTAGAAATTCATTTACCCAGTGGTAGTTATAAAAAGCATTTTTGGCAAACTCTGTCCCAAATAGTTTCTGAAAAAAAAATAATTTTTTTAAAAGGTCCAATTAAATTTATATCTCCGAAACTAAAGTTTCAAAAAAAGTCATACTATACTAGAAATTCACTTACCCAGTAGTAGTTATAAAAAGCATTTTTCGCAAACTCTGTCTCAAATAGTTTCTGAAAAAAAAATAATTTTTTTAAAAGGTTCGATTAAATTTATATCTCCGAAACTAAAATTTCAAAAAAAGTCATACTATAGTAGAAATTAATTTACCCAGTAGTAGTTATAAAAAGCATTTTTGGTAAACTCTGTCTCAAATAGTTTCCGAAAAAAAATATTTTTTTAAAAAGTCCGATTAAATTTAATCTCCGAAACTAAAGTTTCAAAAAAAGTCATACTATACTAGAAATTAATTTACCCAGTAGTAGTTATAAAAAGCATTTTTGGTAAACTCTGTCTCAAATAGTTTCCGAAAAAAAATTATTTTTTTAAAAGGTCCGATTAAATTTATATCTCCGAAACTAAAGTTTCAAAAAAAGTCATACTATACTAGAAATTCATTTACCCAGTGGTAGTTATAAAAAGCATTTTTGGCAAACTCTGTCCCAAATAGTTTCTGAAAAAAAAAATAATTTTTTTAAAAGGTCCAATTAAATTTATATCTCCGAAACTAAAGTTTCAAAAAAAGTCATACTATACTAGAAATTAATTTACCCAGTAGTAGTTATAAAAAGCATTTTTGGTAAACTCTGTCTCAAATAGTTTCCGAAAAAAAATTATTTTTTTTAAAGGTCCGATTAAATTTATATCTCCGAAACTAAAGTTTCAAAAAAGTCATTCTATAGTAGAAATTCATTTACCCAGCAGTAGTTATAAAAAGCATTTTTGGTAAACTCTGTCTCAAATAGTTTCCGAAAAAAAATTATTTTTTTAAAAGGTCCGATTAAATTTAGATCTCCGAAACTAAAGTTTCAAAAAGTCATACTATACTAGAAATTCATTTACCCAGTAGTAGTTATAAAAAGCATTTTTGGTAAACTCTGTCTCAAATAGTTTCCGAAAAAAAATTTTTTTTTTAAAAGGTCCGATTAAATTTATATCTCCGAAACTAAAGTTTCAAAAAAAGTCATACTATACTAGAAATTCATTTACCCAGTAGTAGTTATAAAAAGCATTTTTGGTAAACTCTGTCTCAAATAGTTTCCGAAAAAAAATTATTTTTTTAAAAAGTCCGATTAAATTTAATCTCCGAAACTAAAGTTTCAATTATGAACACTTTAAATTTGACCAAAAATTTTTCCATTGTTTTTTTTTGCATTTGAGTGTACAAAAAAATATTGCTTATAACCATCAACGAAATTAGCATTGCCTTTTACCATTTTCTTGGTACGAGCGCAAAACACCAAACCTAAATCATCCTGTATACATATAAACCGTGATTCACACGTCTGACGGCATAGAGACGTAAAGACACAGACGGTATCGATCTACAAACATTACAATCGTAGGGAGAGAGTTAGAAATCTCCCTATTCAGTTGTGATCCCTCGCCCCTTATTTTACAAACATCATTTATGTGCCCTTTCCTTACAGGTCCTTGAAACGTTTCAAGGCTGATTCGATTATAAGAAAGTTATATTTTAGCTTATCTAAAATTCATCTAACTTTAATCGATTGTTTTGCATACCTAACATATACGTAATACGTATTATAAAAAAATATATTCCTGAGTTTCATTTTTTTCTCATTTATCTACTAACTAGCGTGTACCCGCGACGTCGTTCGCGTCGAATTAATCATTTGTAATGGTGATGATACAGTAAAGCAAGAATTTCCATTAACATACAAACTTGATAATTTTTTTTTACATTAATGTCAGCGTGAGAAAAAACAATATGGCGATATTATTATATAACTTGGTAATATTTGAGAGGTAGTTTCATCTCGTTGGAATTTGACTTTCGAAAAATCCCCTTGCCAAAAATGTAAGAACCACTTAATTTTGTGATCCTTTTTTTTATTTTTTTTTAATATTTAATTACAAACGTAGGCGCTACTTACAATTTAAAATACAACTAATAGAATTGTCTTAACGAATAATCAAGTTGACCGTCTTTGTGGATGCGTTTAGACTTTACCTGTAATCAAAGAAAAAGTATCTGAGCAAAAGAATTCAGCCAAATAAATAAATCTAACTTACAAGTTTTATTTTATTTATTTTACTACTTGGATTTATTAATCCTTAATTTTCAATCATTAACCAATGAGCATCAATACCTTAATTATTAATTAACATTAATTAACCATTGAGCAGTACTACCTTAATTATTACAACTATAAGTGGCCGTAATATACTGATCGACAGTCTGGTGTTGGCACTGTCAACAATGCCCATTATTCCGAACGACAGGAATAATATTAATACCATACTGAAGGACAATATATTGGCATGAACGACAATGCCAATTATTCCGAACGACAGGAATAATATTAATCACACTGAACGACAGCGTGTTGGTATGAACGACAATACCAGTTATTCCGAACGACAGGAATAACAAAATCATACTGAACGACAGTATGTTGGCATGAACGACAATGCCAATTATTCCGAACAACAGGAATAATTCTCGACACTGAACGACAGCGTCTTTAGACACGAACGACAGTGTCTATTATCTGAACGACAGATAAAAGGCCTCAGGTATAAAACCCATATTGTAATAAGTAATTAATTGCTCAGTAAAGAATAAACGAAATATATACCAATAAATGATAATTAAATGAAATGTAAATAAAGGTAAATTAATTTGCCCGTGAGCACAGACTCACCTAATTTATAGAACGGCAAGCACACTCACAATAACTACAATACGATTTACCGTTAAGTATCGAATTCTGAACGAAAGACCAAACACCCGTATTCGGCCACGCACTCTGGAAAAGTAAAAAGAAGTATATTTTTCGAAAGCAGGCATCGCCGATGGGTCAGCCACATGTTTAAGCAATGGTGCGTTTTATCCCTCGTTTCAGAATCAGGTACCTAGTTGGTAGGAATAAGAGTAAAAAAAAGATATTCTTACAAAAATAAGCTTTTTACGACAAGCAGTTTACGCAGAATCGTTCTTAATCAATTACCCAACTTTTTGGAACACCCTGTATGATTTTTTAAAAAATTCAAAATATTTAAAAAAACAAAATAAATTATGCGTGTTCAAGCGTTTTCCCGAAAGACTAATCGTTTTTTAAATAACAAATATTGTAATATTTGAGGGAAGTGTTCACCCTCTTGGAATTTGGGATTCGAGAAACCCCTCCTTATCGAACCTCTACAACCCACAGTCAATTCGTTTGTTAAAAGTCGGCTTTAAACGTTAGGCAGTTTAAGCAGAATCGTGATTACTCAATAGTCATATTTTATGAAACACCCTGTATAATTTTTTTAAAAATCTTAAAATATGTAAAACAACAAAATAAAATATACGTGCTTATGAGTTTTTCCGAAAAACTCACCGGTTTTTAAATAAAAAATATTCAAATATTTGAGGGGTGGTTTCACCCTGTTTCACCCCCTTAAAATTCGAGTTTCGAAAAATCCCTTCTTATCGAACCTCTATACCCTAAAGTCAATCCGTTTTCCAAAAATCAGCTTTTTACGTCAAGCGCATTAAGCAGGATCGTGATTAATCAATGACCAGATTTTTCGAAACACCCTGTATACATTTTTAAAAAATCTTAAAATATGTAAAAACACAAAATAAAATATACGTGTTTAAGCGTTTTTTCGGAAACATGACCGTTTTTTAAATAAAAAATATTGTAATATTTGAAGGGTGGTTTCACCCCCTTGGAACTGGAATTTCGGAAAATCCCTTCTTATCGCACCTCTACATCCTAGAATCAACCTGTATGCCAAAATTGAGCTTCTTACGTTGAGTGGTTTGGGCAGGATCGGGATTAATCAATAGTCATATTTTATGAGTATGGGTACATCCCTATATTGAATGAAATTTTTATTGTCGATTGTTAGTGGCTGCCAAAAAAACAACAGAGTGATAAAAAGTTTTTAACAGTCTATAGAATGTCAAAACAATCGTACATTTTTCTAATAGGATCAGGAACTAGCTTCAGCCATTCAGCACTTCATCGTTCAGTACTTCAGTCATTCAGTACATCAGAAAAACGCAATGATAACATTAAGGTGAGTAAAAACCAGATATTTATTAGGCAATTTTTTTAATTGAGCAAATGAGTAAAAACTAAAAATTAAGAAAAATATTTAATTCTATTAATCTAAAGATCAATAAATAGTTTTAATTGAAATAAGTTTAATTCATATTTTGTGAAGGAATGTGTGCAGGGGTCTCAAATAGCCCCGGAGAAGTTATTGCTACCTCGTCTATAAGAAGTAATGCTCTTCTTTTGTAAACCCTCAACTGCGCATCATCGAATTGCATCAAATCGGGTATGAGGCTGTTCAAAAAATTTTGAATACCCTCTTTTTTATAATCCGTAGAAAGATTTTTTGCTACAATTTGTTGAGTTTTTATTGCAAAATATTCAGCAATGGCTTTGTCGGCTTTGTCACTTGGGCTAATTTGTGATGTCCTTTTTCGGGCACGTGGAACTCGTCGTGGGGGTCCTTCACAATCTCCAGACATTGCTGAGGGTAGTGTTGTTTGTAGCGTGGGTAAGGGGGGCCGAGAGGATGTTGGTAATGAGCAGTTAGGTGATGATAGGGGGTCCCTTGCATAAGCTTGCTCATAGAGCTCTGAAAAAACAGATGTTTCTTGTGAAACATCCAATTCAGAAATGTCTGTCATGAAATGACGGGATGACGTGCCAGGTTGTTCCTCGGGTAGTTGAGGTGCATTGCCAGTTGTGGTGCCGGATATTTTAATAAAGGGAACAGCGAACTGCATTGCTTCCTTCAGGTAGTATAATTTTTTTCTTCCTCCACTACCAGGTTTAGGCTTTAAGTTTTTGGCAAGCGTACTTCTCAAATTTCTCCATTTTTCTTTACATTCCCCTGCTATAACAAGAAAAAAGATACACTGTTTCATTTGGGTCCAATAATGTTAATTTATACATAAATATTTTCTTATAGTAATTTTTATTTAACTGCATTTTTTTTCAGATATTTGGCTACAGAGGTGTATTTGTTTCACTAGGACTTTATTTTTTCCGGGGAAAGTCAACAGTCTGTCAAACAGTATCAGAGACTACTAAGATTATTCGGAATAAATTATCCTATCAAAAATAAAAACACTAGATCACCACAATACACCAAAACACTTTTACTTTTACACTGGACGCGCGTTTCGCTAACCATGTTAGCATCATCAGTAGATGATTATAAACTTTATAGTTTAAAGTTTATATTATAGTGTGTTATAGTTTTAAATCATGGTGGTTTTCATCCATTTCAAATATTAGATATCAGGACGTTGAACTTAGCCGATGTAGGAAGCGATCACAGTCTGTTACTTGCAAAAATCAAATTAAAATTTAAACCTCATAAGAAACTAGGACAAGCAACTCAAGAAGTTAAGATAAACATCGAATCGCTATGGGACTTGTCGATTAAACAACTATATGAGAAAAGACTGACAGAGAAAATCCAAGTAAACCCAATAAAAGCAGAGGATAGCATAAATACCTCCTTGGAAAACTAAAGAACAACATCAAAGAGGCCGCATGTGAAGCTTTAGGCACCCGGACTATAAAAAGAAATAATAGCACCAAAATAAATAAAACTCCGTGGTTCCGCCCAGAAATTAAAGAAAAATGTAGAGAGAAAAAAATAGCATACCTCAACTACAGAACATTACGCACACGAGAATCATTCGAAACATATAGACGAATCCGAAACGAGACAACAGCACTAGTAAGACAAACAAAAAACCAACATTGGGAAATTTTCTCTAAATGAATGGAGAGTGACTTCTACGGACTTCAAAAACAAATTTGGCGCTTTATAGGAACGCAAAGAAAAGAGATTAACGAGTGAGTTGAAACAAATCACATAGCAAGGGAATCCTGGATTGATTATTTGTCAGAACTATACAAATCAGAAGAAATAGAGGTTGAACTAAATACACCCGAAATAATGACCAACGACAACGTACAGATTGAGGCAGCCGATATAATTACATCTCTTCAAAAGCTAAAGAATAGGAAGAGCCCAGGGCAAGATGATATCCCAAACGAATTACTTAAATATGGCGGCCAAAGTCTCAACAGCAGCTAACATCCCTGATTCAAAAAATTCTTTACCAACACAGGATACCCGATGAATGGCGAACCAGCACCACTATCTTGATGTTTAAAAGAGGAGATAAGAAGCTGCCCTCAAACTATAGAGGCATAAATCTTCTAAGCACCACACTAAAACTTACGACAAAAGTGATAACAACCAAAATAAACGACTTAACATGCTTAGCAGATGAACAGCAAGGTTTCAGATCGGGCAGATCATGCACAGACGCGGTTTTTGTCATAAGACAGATAACAGAAAAATCAATCGAATATAACAAACCAGCGTATATGTGTTTTATTGATTTAGAAAAAGCGTTCGACCGTGTGCAGCTAAGAGACGTTGTACACCTTCTTTACAATAGGCAAATCCCACACAACCTCGTTAAAACCATACAAAACATATATGAAGCGAACCAAATTCAAGCTAAAATTAACGGGGTCCTGACCGAACCAATAAATGTAGGCTGTGGTATCCGACAAGGTGACTCCCTGAGCCCTCTTCTTTTCAACATCATTATGGACGAAATAATAGGAAATGTACGTTTACTGAAGGGATACAGTATGGGCGACCAGGAAATTACTATTCTATGCTATGCCGATGACGCCGTATTGGTAGCTGAAAATGAGAACGATCTACAGCGCTTATTACATCGATTTAATTGCACTGCCAAATCACTTAATATGATAATATCGACCCAGAAAACTAAATGCATGACGACATCAAAAGTACCACTAAGATGCAAACTGGAAGTCGAGGGCAATGTTATTCAGCAAGAGATGAAATTTAAGTATCTTGGCATAGAAATCTCAGGATATGGTGATGTAGAAGCGGAGGTGCGAGAACGGACAACGAAGGCAACCAGAATAGCAGGATGCCTGAATGATACAATATGGCGAAATAAAAACATTGAGGTAGAGACTAAAGCGAGAATTTACAAGGCAACGGTACGACCAATAATGACATACACTGCAGAAACTCGACCTGATACAGCGAAAACTAAACAACTACTAGAAACAACCGAAAAGAGAGTACTACGCAGAATAGCTGGAAAGACGCTTCTGGACAGGGAGAGAAATGAAAGCATAAGAAGAGCGTGCAAGGTGGAAAATGTAAATGAGTGGGTACTCAGCAGAAAGGAAGAATGGAACGAGCATATCAGCAGAATGGACAACAGAAGGATAGTGAGAGTTGCACGCGACAAATCACCGCTAAGTCGCAGAAGCTTAGGACGTCCACGAAAACGATGGAGCGACAACTTGTCAGTCTAACCGGTAGAGACGACGAAACCAAACAGGCGATTCGCCTGGTATGAAGAAGGAAGAAGAAGATAGTTTTAAAGTAGTTTATAATCATCTGCTGATGATGCTAACATGGTTAGCGAAACGCGCGTCCAGTGTAAATGTAAAAGTGTTTTGGTGTATTGTGGCGATTTAGTGTTTTTATTTTGCTGTGTAACACCAAAGGTTCCAACCCTCAACTGTAATCTATCAAAAATACAGAATATAAAAAAATGCCAAGTCTCGCAACACAATTTTTCCACTATAAAAATTTGTGAGATCTCATGTGAAACCAAGTCAGTTTATTTTATTTAGTCACTTTTTAAGCACCTATTCAACAATTTTGTTATAAAGTGTTAGTAATAAAATATTAAGCATCTTTATTTCTGTAATAATTATAATGACTTTTGACTTGGCAATTGCACAGCATCATAATTATAAAAGAATAATCTACCATCTCGATTACTAAGTAAATCTAAACAGTTAAGGTTTTTTAATTATAATAGAATTATCGTGCAATTGCCAAGTCATTATAATTATTGCAGAAATAAAGATGCCTAATATTGATACTAACAATTTATAACAAAATTGTTGAATAGGTGCTTAAAGAGTAGAGACTAAATAAAATAAACTGACTTGATTTTACACGAGATCTCACAACTTTTTATAGTGGAAAAATTGTGTTGCAAGACTTGGCATTTTTTTACATTCTATGTTTTTGATGGGATCTCATTTCTTCTTGTAGGTTATCTTCCTATTTTTTTTCTCGGGTAATATTATGTCATTCAAAATAATATTAAAGTAGTTTAACTAGCAGTAGCTCATAAACTTTGAATTATCATATAAAATCAGATTTCGAGATAAAAATTAAAATTTTTATCTCGAAAACAATAAGAGATGTAGTCCGGCAGCCGCTGGGGTAAACCCAAAATTTTGGGATTAAGTTTTTTTCAAAACGGATTTATCATCTCTAGGTGTCCTACTTTTGATATCCGAGTGATGACAAAGTGGCATCTTTGGGGAAATTAAGATACAGGGTGATTCATTATCAATTATGTGAAATCGAGTGTTATTCGAGTTATCGAGTTATTTTGTGTGTTTTTAACGTGAAAAAATGTTTTTTATATTGATTTATTTAATAAAGTAGGTTTTTTCATAGGTATAAGTGATAACGAAACATCTTATATACAGTGTGATTAAAAAAAACATAATATATTTTCACGTTAATTGAAGGTAAATTTTTGCATTATGTATACTGTGTAGGTACGTATATACCTAATGTATGAGTAAAAGAATATCAAAACATTTTTTATACAGGGTATTTCAAAAACAACATTACTTCCGTTGAAGGACTATCATAAAACATTAAAGTTTATCAGTCGGTATCAACCTCAGAATCAACATCTTTATCGGAAACCACCACATCTTCATCCTCATTATCATTAGCCGGTACAGCGGGGGTCAGTTCGTTGCAACAATGTTCGTTCCCGTGACACATACAAAACATTGTGCAAGGCAATCTAGCACCTTTACACCTACATCTTGTTGTGCTACACGGACTGGCACTTGAACAAGAGCAACGAATCAATTGTAATATATCGGAAGGTGCCAACTCGGCTCTTTCTGGTAGGATGACTGGTAACAAATGCTTTCCGTTGGCATCTCTTCCGTTGAGAATAAATGTTTTTTATGTCAACTGAGTTCCAAATTCTTTCTTTATCTGCCAGTAGTTCTTTCACGGTTTGATTATATGGAATATCTTCTTCGTCGTTATTCTAGCCTGATCGTCGTTTTGCTAACAAAACAGCTTTTTGGCCCATAAATCTGTTTCGACAATCCAGATGGTATCTGGCGTCTAGTGTATGTAGGTCTGCTACATAGCCCGCTAATCTTAGACTAACTTCAGAAGCCCAGGTATCATTCCTGTCTATACAGGTTTTCAAAATCGCTTCTTTAATTACCATTTTCTTAAAGTTGTCTTTTAAAGCGCGGAACTGGAAGGCCGCTCTCTATCGATGTGGGTGCTTTTCATCTTTTTCTAGTTCACACTTTAGTCCACAAAACAAACAGTTTCCTTTGAAGATAAAGATTGGCACTTCTGAACGTCGCTGCATTTTCTTACTTGAAGTTCCAGCCTTGTTAATATCATTGTCCGGGGATAAGGTCCTTTTCAAATGTGTTTTGGATGTGTACGTCGAAACGCAACCTCTGTGACATAGTAAACGAAAATCCTTGTCCGTAGTGATCTTCTCTTCCAATTCTTCACATTTACCATCTTGATACACTTTGCTATAATTTATAATAGTTTCTATAAAAGTTTTTTCACTTTTCTTCTGACAGAAAAACTTCCAGTGAAGAAAACACTTTTCACTCATGTTTAAAATGTTTAATTTGTTATGTAAAAACAAGAAAAATATTAATCGGAAAAATGTAGATATAAGTTTTATTTTTTTTAACCACCCTGTATATTGGTAAAGGTATATAGCCTATATTTAGTATAAATACAATAAATTGACCAACCCACACAAAAATTAAGGCCTAAAGGCCTTATAAACCTATCGAATACATTTTTATGTCTTATATTTTGGGAGACCCTGTATATCTGGATTTCCCCAAGGGTGACAGCTTGTCATCAGCCGGATATGGAAAATAGATATATAGATCTATAATAATCCGTCATAAAATAAACTTAATCCCACAATTGGCACTTCAGGGAAAAATCCGGGTTCTGCTGCCGGACTAATAGGTATAGGACGTATAGGTTAGTATAATAAAAAAATTATGAGATATGAGAGTAGTTTCCAAAAATGTAGAGAGAGAGAGAGAGCGAGAGGGGTATTGATTTATAGAGCGCGTCAACAGCGAGGGTTTTTTAGCGCTCAGTAATAAGCTTTATTTAATATGGGGTTATTTTAAATTATTTTGAGTTAGAAATTAAAGTTTTTTGGTTATGTTGATGCTGTCTAAGGATTCCATAACTTTATTAATCGAAATTCGATTAATAAAATTCGAAATGTTCAAAGGCGCGAAAATATTCTCATAGGTAACAGCATTAAAGAATCTAGACCTATGGGAGGCAACAGGTAAGCATTCAAAAAGAATGTGTCTCATTGACATTAAGTTATTGCATAAGGTGCATTTCGGAGGGGGTTCATTTCTGATGATATAGGATATGGTAAGATATGAGTGTCCTGTGAGGGTTCTAACAACTTTACAAAAAGATCCGCGTTCAAGAGAATATATATTTTGATACAGATGAAGTAGTGGCATATGTGATCTAAGTTTATTAGTTCCCTCGAGGATGTCCCATTCATTTTGAAGTATACTGAAGAACACTTTTTTGTGGAAATTTCTGAAATCGACAACGGATGGAGTTCCTTCAATATTCTGTAAGAGCGTTGCCTCGTTAGCCAGTTTGTCTGCTCGGTCGTTACCAGCAATGTCAGAGTGTCCAGAAATCCACATAAAGTTAACATTGTAGTTTCTTTCAGTAAGTTTATATCCTAGATCTCGAATGCTGCAGGTTAGAGTTTTTGGGGTTTAAAGAAGCAATACTGTTGAGGCATAATTGAGGGAACTAAGTGAATCAGATAGTATTAATGCTTCAATCGGTGGCATACTCCGAATTTGGATAAGAGCCTGATAAATAGCTGTGAGTTCGGCTGTTAAAATGCCAGAGAAATTAGGTAATTTGATTTTTTATTAGCAACCGGGCTGTAAGAAGCACAACCAACACCTTGGTCAGATTTCGAGCCATCTGTGTAAAAACAAATATAGTCACGATATTTTTCGTCTAAAATTTGTTTTAGACTAGTTATGTAAAGATATCTGGATGTTTCAGATTTTTTTAATTTACCAAATTCCTAAAAAAAATGTAGATCACGTGATCACGATCATGTATAGTGCCTTTATACAAAAATCACCGGTTTTCCGGCTATTATCGTCGCCGGAAAGTCGGTTACCGGTAGCGGATAAAGAGTTATTAAGATATCCAGATTTTTCATTTTTATTTCCGTTATTAGCTTAAAACTACCTAAAATTCGAATTTTGTGACACATCTAGATGTACCTTAGAATTTTAATGGCGAGTGAGTCACTGGCGAAGTTAAACAAGTTTAGCTAGAAAAAAACATAATCCTTGAATTATTGTTGGTACATTAATATACAAATAAAATCAGAAGAAACCGCTTCGATTAATTTTAGTTTTCCACCTTTTTCCCGACTGGAAAGTCAGTTACAGATAGCTGCTAGACAGCTAACTTTTAATACATAAGTATATTTCGAGGTTTTTCATTTCGTCCTATTGCTGCCAAAAGTCACTAACTAACATTTTTCCGAACAACCAAATTCAATCACTAACTATGTTTTGAAGCGGAGAATCGATTGCAAAAGTCATTAACTACGATTTCTGGCTATTTATGTGTTATTTTAATACCGAATAGTTACTAACTATAACATCTTTATGCAATGCAATTCATCTTTAGACGCATTTTTCTCGGAAGTAATAAAAAGTAAGTTAGTGACTTTTGGCAGCAATGGGACGATTTATTCCTTCGATTATCAGCTTAAAGTTACCTAAAATTCGAAATTTGAAGTTTGTGACACATCAAAAAAACCTTAGAATTTTGATGATCTGTCAGTGAATCAATGGGCGCGTTCAGGGAACACAGCCGCTGACATTCGCGTAGAATTTCGCTGACCAGCAGCTTACGATATTCCCTAAACGGCACAAAGCAGCAGAAAGAACAAGAAACAGTAGCTGTCTCATGCGCTCTCTATCTACTATAAAAATTTGTGTTCCCATGTGTTCCCAATCGATTAAAAAAGAGTATGCGAATAAGTTGATTAGTTTAGGAGTTATCGCGTAGGAAAGGTAAAAAACATGGTTATACAATTTTGACAGATTTTAGACATTTTCCGGGATAAACAATTTCTGACCCCGCCAAAAAGGTCGTAATTAGTCATTTCACATGCACAAAGCTCTAGCCGATCATTTCATAACGAGTTTATGTGGTTATACCTTAAAAAAAAATTCGAGAAGGAAGCAACTTTTCTCAGTGATTTTACTCCACTATTTAGGGAAATCGCTTACTCAGCCACTCAGCCGCTGACCGTCCCTGAAGGCGCCCAATGTTAAAGAAATTATATATTGTATATATATAATTAAAGAAATTTGACAAGCCATGATTCATAAACTATGAGGTATAATTACTAGATATTTTGGTAACCTAGCCAGCTATAGCATGTCTTATGTGTAGTGAAAATTAATATTGTTGCTTTATCCACGATACACGAAGTTACAGGGTGGTCAAAAGTGCCGCTAATACATTCGAGAAAAGGATGGTAAGGCTGTGCTCGACTTGGCAGAGAAATGAGATACTCACGTTTCATTTTTACTTTCTGAGCTATTTCACTCCACGCTTTCTCTATATAATCTTTTCTCGAATATTCCGGCAGATTAAAATCGTACAGCTCTGGATATTTTTCCACTTCTCCAACGAATTTTATATTGAATGCCTAAAAAAAAGTTATTCAGATTAGTTAAATTTTTTAATGGAATACCCGATAGGTACTTAAATAAGTGCAAATATTTTTATTGGTAGTACATTTCGACACTAGATACACGATATGAGGTTTTTTTGCGAAAAAAAATTGAAAATTTGGAATTTTTTGAAAAAAAAATTTGGATTTTTTTTTTTAGTTTTTAGTTACAAACATAATTTCTTGATAATATGGCAACATAGGGAGTAAGTAGTAGATTAATTTTGCAAGAAAGAAAACCCAAAAAAGTTCCACTAGCAAAAAATCGCTTTCTTTCTAAATTTTCAAAGCAAACTAACTCGTTTTTTTTTTGACTTAAAAACGATAAAGAGAGAATATGTTTCTTTTATCAAGCCTACCTGCATTATTGGATTCTACGGGCAATTTGTATACCGGGTGCATCTCAAAAGTGGCTCACCCCTATAACTTTTATTTTTTCAGATAAAAAAAAAGACATTTGGTATGTTAGTATATGACATAAATTAGGATTGATTGACGTACTCAATTGTTTTTGGTCACTTCCTGTTTGAAATGACTACAACTTTTGATTTTTAAATGGCACCCTCGGTATTTTTTTACTTTATTCGATAGAAAATGACACTCTGAATCGAATGACATATCGTATGTCAACTTTTGACATATTCGCTCAAAAACAAATTGTATTTTAAATTTCAATCTAGAGTGCCATTGCTGTGTTAAAAACACTAATTTTTAATCAAGAAACCTTGGAAAAATAGATTTGATTGTCTAATGGTTTTAGTGTCTTGTCCTGGGCCAGTTAAAAGATGCCCAAATCGTATTTTTAATCATATCTCAATTTTTTCAAATAGAACGAGGGTGGTTCATTAGCATATTTGGAAAAAGCATTTTTTTACGAATAATTAGGTACCACACACTGGGTATTTCGAATCAAATTTTTGTTATGAACCGCAGGTTACAATTTCAAATAAACCATATGCGAAAATGTCAAAAGTTGAGTACGTCATTCTATTCAGAGTGTCATTTTCTATCCAATAAAGTAAAAAAATACGGAGGGTGCCATTTAAAAATGAAAAGTTGTAGTCATTTCCGGTGAAACCGGAAGTGACCGAAAACAATTGAATATGTCAGGCAATCCTAATTTATGTTATATGTTAACATACCAAATCTCGTTGTTATATCTGAAAAAATAAAAAAGTTATAAGGATGAACCACTTTTGAGACGTACCCGGTATAATACCTTATATATATGGTTATTAGTTATATATATATATATATATATATATATATATATATATATATGTTATTATATATATATAGTTATATATATATATATATATATATATATATATATATATATATATATATATATATATATATGTGTGTAAATTGAACCTTTATTGTGTCATCTATTGATGTTTGAAAATTCATTAAGAAATAAGATCATGCAAGTCAAGATATATACAGGGTGTCAAGCAATAATCCGTGTCCATAGAACTACTATACGTATTTTTGGAATCAAAATAAGTGCATTGGACACAATTTACCTCTATACAAAAGTGCTTCGTTTGGCCGCTAGAGGGTATTAAACTCATAAAATATATAATACTAGCGTGTACCAGCGACTTCGTTCGCGTCGAATTAATCATTTGTAATGGTGATGATAAAGCAAAGCAAGAATTTCCATTACCATGGTAACTGATAAAATTTTCTCACATTTATGTCAGCATGAGAAAACAATATGGCGATATTATTATATAATCCTGGTAATATTTGAGGGGTAGTTTCATCTCGTTGGAATTTGACATTGGAAAAATCCGTTTGCCAAAAAAATAAGTTTTTTACGTCCAGCAGTTTAAGCAGAATCGTTAAGAAATTACCCAACTTTTTGGAACACTCTGTATGATTTTTAAAATTTCAAAATATGTAAAAAACCAAATTAATTATGCTTGTCCAAGTTTTCCCGAAAAACTAACTGTTTTTATATAACAAATATGTAATATTTGAGGGCGTTTTCACCCTCTTGGAATTTGAGATTCGAGAAACCCCTCCCTTATCGAACCTCTACACCCCACAGTCAATCCCTTTGCCAAAAATAAGCTTTAAACGTCACGCATTTTAAGCAGAATTGTGATTACTCAATGGTCATATTTTATGAAACTCCCTGTATACATTTATAAAAAATCTTAAAATATGTAAAACAACAAAATGAAATATACGTGTTTAAGAGTTAGACCCCCTTAGAATTCGAGTTTCGAAAAACCCCTTCTTATCGAACCTCTACACCCTAAAGTCAATCCGTTTGCCAAAAATCAGCTTTTTACGTCAAGCGCTTAAGCAGAATCGTGATTAATCAATGACCAGATTTTTCGAAACACCCAGTATACATTTTTAAAAAATCTTAAAATATGTAAAAAAACAAAATAAAATATACGTGTTTAAGCGTTTTTTCGGAACTTGACTGTTTTTAAATAAAAAATATTGTAATATTTGAGGGTGGTTTCACCCTCTTGAACTGGAATTTCGAAAAACTCCTTCTTATCGAACCTCTGCACCCTAGAATCAACCCGTATGCCAAAATTGAGCTTCTTACGTAGAGTGGTTTGAGCAGTATCGTGATTAATCAGTATGTCAGTCACTAAGGATTTTATGGTATATATTAGTATAGATATTGCTTTTTTCAGATATTTAAGAACCGTTAATTCGATTTTGAATGAGATTTTGGGTGTCTATGTTTTTCTCAGTGTTTTAGTGCTTTAACATTTGACTTTCAAAAAATCAATAAAAGAGCAATACGTAACTGAACGGAAGTACTGAG